CAATATTATAAAAACATAAAAGTATGATAAGAAGAAAGAGAGAAATATAGAAAATTAATAACAGAGACTTAATTAAAGTCATCATTTATATACATTTCTTCTTTTTAAATTTAAAACTGCGAACGAAAGGCAGAAGAGCAGGTCCAAGCGCGATTGAAAGGCCGAAGACGATGAATCGTCATTAATTGATCGCTCGCGCGAGGTACGACGAAACGATCGGTGGACCCCGTAGGGTGATAGGAGGCAACAGAGACGGGGGATGCCAGGAAAGGTAGGGAGAAGAGGGATGGGGAGGGGAGGGTTATTAAAAATGCCCTGAAATATCCGGCGGATTAAATCGTCTCATTTGCATAAGATACGGTCACCGTAAACGCGAATTTATGGATATGTGAACGTATAGATTCGAGACCGAACGGGATAACTGCTAATAAAGGCTCATCCTGGCAGCAAATAATGAGGGGGTCCCCTGGGTGGCGTGGCGCCACGATATCCGACTAAATATCTCCCGTATGAGCTTATACCATACGCTACATTATTGCCGCGAGATACGTTGTAAACATTCTTTACTCGATTCGCGTTTCCCTTCTTCCTCCGCGCCGCCGCGCTTCATTTCCTCTTTAGCTCGATCTTTCCTTCGACTTACGATATTGCGCGTCGAGATATTTTCAACTTTTTCCATATGCAATAAAATAGTGAAAGTTATGCCCGCGATGCTCGTGATCAATAAACGTTAATTCATATAGCCTGATATTACGATCGAATTTATGCATTGCGACTAATGGGGGTAATATATTTCCATGACTTTTCTAATGTGATACTTTTTGTGTTTTTATCTTTACATAACATCAACATTGTTGAGAGACTGTTCTCAATTTTTTCACCTACGCGAAATAGATAAATGTAACATTAATAATAAGTAAGAACTTGCAAAATTATTTTTTCTTTTATCTAGATCTATAGATTATTTTTACAAATTTATATTCATGTATAATTTTTACCGAGATCAAGTGAAATATATTATCCTTTCATAATCTTTTTTACTCACGAATGACAAAAATATTGTATCTTTTAAAGGATATAATAAAACAAAAAAAAGTTACAATAAATTGTTAAAAATACACTTGATGATACTATTAGTAATTGTCAACAAATTCATTCTTTGGATTGAGATACTGAAATATTATCGGAAAATGTTCGTCTCTTTCTCGAGTACCTGATGCAGCACATGCATGGATAAAGTAATGGACTAATATGTGTGAAGAGTGCTAACACAAATGCTAACATCGCAACATATATTACACACCCGTCAAGTGCGTAAAGCTAACAGGAGATACCTGATATCAAGTGCAGTCGCATCTTCCGTTAGTACAGCCGACTCGCGAAAGTATATTATGACATGCATGATCATAACGTTAAGCGCGAATGACGCCGATAGTCAGTAATCCTACACTTAACGAAGTTTTCGCATTCGCGAGAAGTGACCGTAAATATCTGCTCGTTTGCTCAGATCATTAGGATTTCATCCTATTATCGTAGCGTTGAGAACGGCGAAGACTCTATCGACTCTTACGTTTGAAATCTTGAAAAATAATCTGAGAATAAGTAACCAAAGAAAGATAAAAAATTACTGTATTCGATTATTTTTTTACTATCAAGTTATAACGTAATTTAATAAGAGAGAGAAAGAGAGAGAAATGTGTACTGTGTGTTACTTATTAATAATAAATTCTTGCGTATGATAATAATATGATTACATTATTGTAAATTGACATGTTAACATGCAATAACAATTTTATTTTCAGTATTGCAGTTAATGTTTTATATCTTGTTAATTTGAATTTTGCTTAAAATACTTTTTGACAAGTAAAAAAAAATTTGATTATTGACCACCAACGGGAGATAGTTATGGAAAGTCCGAGGCGATAAACCTAATGTAAATAAATTTATATTCATGAACGTAATTTAAATGAAAATAAACCGATTCGCGAGGGAGAATTCGCTTAGCGAGGCGATGTGTCTTTCGGAATATTACTTTCGGGATAATAATACACGAATAAAGGCGGACAACCTGTGAAAATTGGCCCGGGACATAAACCGCGATTATATTGCGAGGAACACCGTACACCCGAACTACGTTCCGAAATCAAGAAATATTCCCGTAGGCCTCATCCAATCGCGCCGCATCGTACCGCGCGAAAGTCGGTAAAAATAAATGTCGCACGTACGGCTGCGCGATGTACGGCGATAAATTAATCCGACACATCGCCAACCGCGTTTCTCAGTCGTAGTAACACCGAATCCGTTTGGCCTTTCTCCCCTCTGCACCACTTATTCCTGATTTATTGAAATTATATCTGAGCACGTGAAAAAAACGTTTTCCGTACATTTTGTTCACGACTCGCGTAAATTCCCTCTTTCTGTCCGCGGAAGAATCCGCGTGACTGTTATTCTTTGTATTTACGCGATTATTATACCAACATCCAAAGATATTAATGTCTTCATTAGAGAAAACTGAAGAGTGAAAAAAATAATGATGTCTATTTAAGTGTTGTTTAAATATTTTATTCTTAATGAGTTAATTATTGCTATTAACGCGTAAACTTTTTAGAATAAGTTGGATTTTATAATGTATATACATTATACACATGCAATTGCATGCGAACTGTTCAATAAACGGTGCAGTATTAAATGCACGAGGTGGTTAAAACATAATTTACATACCATGCGGCTTAAAAGTATACGAGAGAAAAAAATGCGTCGCATACCACATTATTGGCATACCAACCGTACAATTTCCAATGAGATACAAATATAATAGCGCAGTTCGAGGGAATTAATAGGTAATAGTATCCCGTTAATATCCAAGTTTGCCCATTCTACGTTGGCTATTCGGAGTTATATACAGTCTTCGTACAGCTGCGATCTAATCGACGAAGAAAATGTTATATCCGCGATAGGTAGATACATGCTGCATCTCCTTATTTCGATCGAACTGGTTTATCGATAAAGGCAAATCATAATCTGAGGATTTTAGTACAGTATCATTAACCAACAAACCGTGTAAATAAGTAAACAAGATTCTTTAGAGCTATCAAAAAATATTTTTGAGCTATATGCATATGTTTGATAAATGAAAAGTTTATTTTTTTCTCATTTTGATTAATATTCCTAATGTTTCTAAATAATTTAATAATGGAGATATTCCAACTTAAATTTTTTTATCAAAAGATGCCTTATAAATATATTATTTTTATTTTATATACATATAAAGAGAGACAGAGAGATGAAGCTGCAAAATATTTATATGCAGATAATTATTTCAGAAGGATAATATATTTAATTATATCCATATTTACGATATCATTCCTTTTTCGTCGTTAATAATTTTTCATTAAAAAAAACAATTAGTAACGAAAATGGCAAATGAAAACTGAGGCACGATAATTAAACGTAAGGAAAAAAATAAAAATTATTTTTTCTGGAAATTATAAATTAATAATAAAATTAATAATACATTTTAATAATGTTATATTTTACTTTTATCTGTGTGCAATTACTATTTTTATAGAAAATTATACGAAAAATCTTTGTTACTATAAAAGTACTGCCATGATTCGCTGATAACATCCCTTAGATGTCAAACCATAACGGAGAAAATTTCACTGATAGATCGGCGCGAGTTATATAAATACATTAAGCACTTAGACGGCCACTTTGACCACCGTCGACGTTTCCGTTCAGCAGCTGCCAGGCCCTTCCTGTTTCTCGTTTCCGCCACATTGACGCTCTCCAGATCGAGATAATCGAAGCTTGTACAGACCGTCGCTTATTCGAACGAACATATCTGCCGCTGGGGGTGGCTCGGGTGGTCGCCAGGAGGGTACCGTTGTATCTTGGCGCTATTAGTGCGAACAATACCGGAACCAGTCTGGGACGTATCCTGTCCTTAACGCCTTATCCTCCCCTTTTCTCTCTCTCTCTCTCTCTCTCTCTCTCTCTCTCTCTCTCTCTCTTGTATTTACGCGGCATCATCTCTTTCTCTCTTTTTTCTCTCTCATTTCTGTTCCTCCTTGCACCCTTCTCACGCCACCGAAGAACCTCGAGTGCTCGATGCTTTTTCTCGCGAACAATTTATCAAGGCTCTCCGATGTTTTTGTATCTATCAAAGTATAACGTATCGTGTATGTGTGCGGGTGTGTGTGTATCACGAAATTTTGAAATAAAAATTTCCAGTTATTGATGACCATTTGTAATCTTAAAATCATATTGTTAAAAAAAATCATAGAGAATAATTAAAATAAAATATTTATAAAAGGGGAGAAGAACTTAATTTTACTTAATATTCTGGTTAAGCCAGCGGGATTATTTGACTTGATTAGAGATTGTATTCAAATTAGAATTTAATTTATGAATGCACTGGTAGCTGTTTTTTTGTCTCTGTTTATTTTTACACGTTACTGTTTATTTTATGCGTACTCGTTTAATTTACGCGTATCCGTTCATTTTATATACCGTTCAAATTACGTGCCATTGCACAGATATGTGAAAACATATGCATTTTTCTTTTAGATATTTTTTACATTCACTGACCAGTTTTGGTCGATTTGTAATTTAAATAAATTATTTTTCAAGCTAGTACTATGGGATTTATCTTTCCTGACTATTTATTTTGACTACATCTGGACAAAATATAAAACGCTAAAAATAACTTTGACTTCTATAAGAGATCAATGAAAGAAAAAAAATTTCTTATTATTTGTGAACGCAGTAAATTTTATACTCAATCCATATAATAATGACTATATGATAGATTTTATAAATTCTAAAAATATTATTTTTCTCTCTTTAAACAGAATCTCTTTTACAAGATTTATTGAAAAGGTATTGAGAAAAATTTTCTTTAATCTTCTCTTATTTAAATTATTTAAATAAACGAATTAACATGCATACGCAATTTATAGAATACAAATAATATACAAAACTTTCTATAATAAACTCACCCCAGGATTGCTGTGCTGGAGTTCGATGTTTCTCCTAGATCTTCTCTTCCTCCTCTTAGATTGTCAGGGTCTTCAGGAAACAAATCGTGCACTTGATCGCGCGACACTTTGAACGACACTCCCGCACTTTAACGCACGATACTTTAAACGGCACTCTCGTATTTAATTTTAATTATCATAAAGCAATATGCTGTTTCGCGCGATCACAATAAACACAATACATTGATAGTTTATAATTTTTACGTGTTTATAGTGTGTGTGTGTGTGTGTGTGTGTGTGTGTGTGTGTGTGTTTTAACTTGTGCTTGAAATAATAAATGATCGCGTAGATAATAGTATGTACTTGGATAAAGACTTTATCGTACAGTTACATGTCCATCGAAAATTAATTAATTGTTAATTGTCATGATTTCTCAACATTTGTCGTTTCATAAAAGAATACGACAATATGTAGAACGTCTCGTATCACTACTTTACTGCTCGAGTGTCTTCACGCGAATAAAGGTAAGGCCGCGGGATGTAAACAATAGAGCGCTACCCACCGCCAAGGCTAAATACGTGTTTATGATCGAAATATCTTACATACAATAATATGTATATATCGCGGAATATACCGTAGTATTTATTAGATCATAAATGATTATTAATAAATGATTAATATATCACGATGCCTTTCATTATGTTTATCAATCAATCTTGGGGTTGTATATCGTTTGTAGAAAGTTAATTAATCATTAATTGTCACGATTATTATAGCGAATTTTATTATAGCGAAATTACCAGATATTTCCTTTCAAAAGGAAACATGACAATATACGCGATGTTTCCAACCATTTTATTGTTTGAGTGTCGTCACGCGAATAAAAGTAAGGCCACGGAATGTAAGCAATAGAATATTATACGCCGCCAAGGCCGAATACTGTGTTATTGTTAATTTATTGCTGAAATATTTTATGTATAAAAATACATGTATATGTGGAATATGTTATATACTGTTTCTTAAATTATAGATTAATTATTAATTAAACTGTTAATATCACATCTTTATTATGTCGATCATTCAATCCTGCGACTTGTATCTTATCGTACGTATAATAACGAATTCAATATATATATATATATATATATATATATATATATATATATATATAATTCAATATAAATATGTAGAATATATTGTTGTGTACATCGTTACTTGAATTATGGAGTAATTAAAATTAAGAGAATCTACTTTAAAACTTTACGAAAATGGTATTGGAAAAATATATGAGTCAAAATAATTTTTTTCATAGATGGAATTATATAAAGTGTAATTTTATATATATATACACATATACACACACGTTAATTTTTGTCTAACTATACATTGACTTTACTGTCATAAAGTGCAATCACGAGAGAGACGAGAAAAGAGCACAATTCGTTCTTGCGAAAAATTACGATGATTCGAACGTAATTATCACTGAGAGCGTCGCGAGATGAAATAGATTGATACATCGTTACCTGTCATGCATCAATATCGTTATCTATATGAACGTTTTGTACACTCAACAACTGTTTTTTTAATTTTGAGAAGCTAATAAAATTAATTATGCCGCATCGAGAGATATAATTTCGAATTTTTTTTACACTTGATAATTAATTAAATTTAAAAAATGTCATAATTTCCAATATAATAATTACTAATAACAAATGATATAATTTTCAAATATTGCAATCAATTTGTATATAAAAAAATTGGAATCATCTCTGTGAAAATGCTTCTTAAGATAAATGATATCAGGAAAAAGTATTCAATAAAAGTTGGTATTCTTCTTGAGGTTTGAGAGTGTTATTGATATGCGACACATCGGTGGGCGTCACCAACAGGGAGCAGCTTCCTCAAAGTAATTTATATATTTTCTTTCGGCCGATATTTGTCATCAAAGAGTGGCCATTAGTAGAAGAGCGGAGCAAAAGAAAGGCCTCTGGGAGACACAGCGGGAGGCATTAGACCGTAGCTTCCATTAGCTCGACTTGGTTTTTCTCTCGAAAGGAAATTAATGGCCGATCTCTGCTCGAATCCTACCACCGATAGAACTGAGTCGACTGTATTCTCGTTATATTCCTTCATATCTGCCATATCTGAGTGCGATCATAATTAAAAATTAATTTATTCTTTTCCCTCATTCTTCTTATCATTTTTCCAATTTATTGTAACTATCAAACAGAAAATACATAAAACGTAATTTCACTTGATTTGACTGTCTATTAATTCAAAATAACCGGCGTATCTCCTGTCACTGGATGATCTATCACCACAGAAAGAGACATCACGATACAAACGTCGTATCTAAGCGTTGCTGCTTGAAGCTACAGGGAGTCAGTCGGTCGTTCGCACTCGCAGTTGGGAACCACGTGAGTGGCACGTGACTAAGAGGATGTAGCAATTATATCTCCACTTCATCCTCTCCTCAACCTTTACTCTGTGCGCCACCTCCGCGACGATCAGAGCATTGCCTCCTCTTTCCCAGCCCCTTTCATCTTCCTTCAGCACCTTCCCCTCCCCTTTCTCTTTCTTTCTTTCTTCGGACGCGAGCCGCAATAATTAACGTAACTTCGTGATATCAAAAATGGCCCTTCCCCGAATCCAAAAACCGGCGGCTACTCATCAAAGGCGGCGGCAATAAATTCTTATTGCCCAAGATCGGGGTATTTACGATTCCTTGAACAACGACGCGTTCCTTTTTTTCGTTTCCTTTCCCTCCATTTTCTATTGATATCGTAGTATTCTTTCATTAACACTTAAAGTGATATTCGATCAAACCCAACGGACCAGTATTAAGTTTTAACGTACTAATTGATGGAGATATTGATTGAAATTTCTTAAGAAAAATATTCATGGAGCTAAGAAAAAGATAACAGATTAAAACTGATAGAGACATAGTTCCCATCTGCTACGGCACAATTGTCGGAGATCATAGATGCGCTCGCCATGCATATTTAGCCGGACTCGTTCGGACAGTATGGAAGAAATGAGATAAGAGAAAGAGAGGAATTATACGAGACAGGTGTAGGTGGTCCGCGGCTATTCCCCCAGAAACGTATTTGCGGGCCGTTTGGGTCGCCGGATCGAGGCCCTGATCTCGGGAGCCTTACACTTATACGGTAGCCGAACGACCCCAGGAAATCTAATTGTCGGTCTTCGAGCAAATTGCAAAAATAAACACGTCCGCGGATGGCGGCAGTGAACGGGGATAAAGGGGTAACGTTAGATAGAAAAGGGATGAGGGCGGGAAGCATTGAATCGAGGACCAACCAGTGGTCGCCGGAAGTTCCTTCTTTTTTCTATCTCCCTCTCTCTCGCCTTTCCTCTCGCGATCTCCGTTCGACTCTCTTCCTCGGGGAATGGAAATACTAATTTTGCGGAATACAGTGGCCGGACTGCGGTGAGCGCCCACTGGAAGACGATGGTGTGGGTCGTGATTACCTGAGGATAATTATAGTCGACGTGCGCGCGGCTTATAGAAGGGGGGTAACGGAGCCCCCGGTGTGCACCACGTCCGATGTGCGTTTACGTGTGCGTGCGGGTATCACGTGCCTGATGGAAGTCCGAGGTAAAGTCATCTTTGTAAAAGCGTCACTTTTCGAGGTCTCCCTCATGATCATCTTCGTCAGTTCCCTCGAGCAACAATATACAATTTCTCTGTAGATTCATTGTAATTTTATAGAAATTATACATGGGATACGAATTAAATATTTTATAAGAAAATACTATTATATACGCGCATTATAAAAGCGCATTTCTTTTAGATTAAATTATCATTAAAGTTAAAGTTATCTCGGGAAATATCTTTTCGACATTTAGTGATCAGTAGAGTCTAGGCTAGAATTAACAAAACGCGTCTAGCGGGGCTCTTTCCGCGCAAGAAGCGACGAAGCTGCGCCGAAAGGCAGCTATCGATAAAAGGCAGAAAAGGGAGTAAGCGACAACGGTGCGAAGTAACGAGAAAGATGGAGAGAACGACGAAAGGGGTCATGAACTTGCGCACTTCGAGCGGTTGAATTCGTGTCTTTGTCTCTTCGATGAAGGGCGCCGCGGTAGATATCTCTTGTGGTATATATGTGCGCGGTTTGAGGTGGAGGCACTAAATCAAGGCCCCGCATGCTTTGGATGGCGTCTAACAAATGAGCCAATGACAACCAGCCCAGCCTGGCTCTGCTTTCTCGCTCTCTCTTTCTCTTACATTCTCTCAGCTCCCCCGTACCCCCTTCGCTTCCTCTATCTCTCTCTTCGCGTTCTCTCTCGTTCCCGGGGGAACAAAACGATAATATATTCGAGCGTGCGAGAGAGCACAGACGGGATTCGGACGAATCGAGCGGATGCTATATATGCTGTTGCGGAGCCCACGTGGTGGAAGGATGATCGAGGCTGAAGGAGGCAAAATAAGAAGGAAGACGAAGGAAGACGGAGGTTCGTGGCTGGTGCTGATGGTGGCGGGGCGGGCGGGATGTAGCCTTTTACACGTCACTGAGAACTAATACCCCGACTCACGCTAATGACGGCCAATAATTTAAAATATGAATTTGTATAAATCACCGGTAATCGTTAATTTCTCGGAATGTTAGATCGGCCCGGTCCATCACGCACAACGGCGCGGGGCGACTGCGCGGCGGTCGCTGCGTCTTTGAGGTCCTCACGGAGGTCATTTATGCCGGGGCCTCAGATTAATTGGATTAATTAGGCATTACTGTGCCCCAGGGCACGTCGGTGCATTAGTCGGGAACAGAGAACCGAGTCCAACGAGAGGTACCGACGAAGGTCTCCCCGCGACCTTCGATGAGGGGATCATCCAGGAGGATTCGCGGGATCTTTGATTTAGATCGACCTGCTCCGGCGACCTTCTCGATTCTTGGAAGCTATTTGTCTTCATCGTTCAATGAGCCTCGTGTCCGCAGTTTTTTGCGAGATTTCATCAAGCTATTTTCTCTAGTAAATGAGAGGAGTCGATGAAAAATTTCGACGCAGCGAATGATTTCGCATAGATTTTTCGAGTCATTATCGCCTAACTAAAATACAGAGAAACGTGACATAATGTGAAACAGCGATATAAAAGACTGACGAAAGATTAACAAAAAAATCAAGCTAAGCGAGAAATAATCAGAACACGAAACGATCAAGCGACGAAATTGAAAGTTCGCCTTGACCTCGCGCTTGATCTCGACGCGTTTGTCCGTATCGTCAATGCCGTATGACACAAACGATCGTCGAATCGTCGGAAGGAGAACAGCGCGAGCAGAGACCTTTTTCTGTTGCATGGTCAAAAGTCATTACCGAGCAACGAAATTTGACATGGTTTTTACTCTTGTTGCGCGAGAGCGCGCGTGAGCGTTCGCCTATAATTATTTCCACATCTATCACTCCGGTCCGGCAATGGCCGGCGCGACTGCGGCTCGAAGATTGAAGATCGGCTCGCTCGAAAAAAATGAGACGCGAAACCAGGG